AATCATTAAGTACAAAATTTCAATCCACAAATTTATCTTAACCAAATATATGTATATTTTATGCACCTATAGTAGTCTAGCCAATACGGAAAAGAGGAAACTCCAATAATTCCCTAAAAAGCATCTTGGTCAGCTTTTAGCTACACTCGGGACAGGGAGATTTAATCCTAGCTAAATCTAAAAATGGTTTTCTAACTACATACTATTGTGTTATGAGATTCCAGACACTATTACTCTTGGTGACAATTATTTACTTTGTGTGCACCCTAGATACTCAAGTACAATGCAGCACTCTCCCTAAGTAGTTTAGTCTAGCGACCTCAAAGAGAAACAACTGGGAAAAATAAGACGTTTTCCCTGCCAAAGACACACTAAACTAGCAAGCTAATAGGATCTTTTAAGTGCATACTACAAGCTTAAAACTGCCAGTAGTCTTTAAAAGAAGACAGCTCTGCTAAGGCAAGAGCTCCTAGTATCTAAAAACCAATTATATTTCATTTTTACAACCAACTGATTTTTCAGCTTACATTTCAGCTTAATTATTATTATTATTATTATTATTATTATTATTATTATTATTATTATTATTATTATTATTATTATTTTTCCAGACAGTTTCTCTGTGTAAGAGTCCTAACTGTCCTGGAACTCGCTCTTGTAAACCATGTTGGCCTTGAACTCACTTGATCCACCTGTCTCTGCCTACCAAGTGCTGGGATTAAAGGGGTGTGCCACCACCACCCAGCCAGTTTAAATTTTTAAAAAAATTCATTCATATCTTCAAACAGAAATTCGATGGTTTTACGAGTAGCATAAAAGAACTTTATCACAAAACCATAATAGATAATCTGTCAGGTAAATAACCCTTCAACAAACAACCCAGATCCAAATATATACTATTTTTACAAGACTCTGAAAAATACCAATAAGAGATATTCTATAGGACAAACACACATGTATAACTTAAATAATAAAGACTTTACAGTTTTTATTTTTGTACATATTAATTGTATTATTATAAAACCAAATTAATCCATCAAAAACAACTAGATTATACTGTTAAATCTACACCATAAATTCTAAAAGTCTACAATTTGATCCAAAGGACATTCACTGAGAATTAAAAGTTTACTTATTCCGAAATTGTGCTGTTACAAATAGGTTTTCCTTATCCCCGGGATGTTTTCATTAGTAGCTGAAGCTGTACTTGTAAGAATCATAGCACATTCATATTTGAGTCTGGCATTAACCAAAAGTAATCTAATCCTCTGAAGATTAGTAAATATAGGAAAAGCAGTTACCTTTTAAAACCAGCATCTATATAGTTGAGATAACTGCCAAGGCAATTACTATTGAGTTGGTTCAGACACGTAGTAATCAAGTCTTTAGAAATTAATAAATAACTTACATATTTCAATTGATTTTGACATTTCCTGAAAAATGTTTAAATACCTCACACTTAAAAATCTAGATAAAAACCACTATTCCTTCTGAAAAATGAATATTAAAATTAAATCTGATTTCCTATCCCTCGTATTGCTTCAGATTTGTTATGCTTTATATTCTAAAATTTAAACAAGCATTGCATATTGTCTTTGAAAAATATTCTCTCTAGTTTTACCCCTAAACATTCAATTTACTTTTAATTATAATTTTGATAAATCCTATTCTTTTAAAAGCATAGTGGAAGACACAAATCCACCTATAAAAATATGATGAGCAATGATGGTGCATGCCTATAATCCCAACACTTGGGAAACAGAGGCAGGAGAATCTCTATGAGTTTGAGGCCAGTCTGGTTCACAAAGAAAGTTCACAAGGACAGCCAGAGCTATTACTGAGAAAGCCTGTTTCAAAGTCACCCCCTAAAAAATTTTAAAAAAATACACTACCAACAGTATTTGAAAGGGGAGAACTCAGAGGCAGGGCCAAATCTTTTTTCCACATATATTATTTAACCCATGATAATAAGGAAAAGTAACAAAATATTATTTGTTCTCTTTTTGTCTTTCCATTTATTTAGTGTAGTGTTGCCATGGCAATAGAGGTCAGAGGGCAACTAGAAGACGATGGTTCTCTCTTTCTACGGGTTCCAGGGGTCCAGCTCAAGTCTTTAGACTTGGTGGCAAACACCAAATGAGCCATCTCAGTGACCCAAGCTGGGCTTTCAAACATTACGAAAAATGTAACAGAATTCAAATTTTCTAACTTGTTCTTATAAAGGCAAAATACAAAACAACTAAGGAGAATGAGTTCACACTAGTTGAATTTTTATCTCGTAAACTAGAAACTAGGAGCTGGAGAGATGGCTTAGAAGTGAAGAGCACACATGTTGCTCATGCAGAGGGCCTGAGTTCGACCTCCAACACCAAGGGAGGCTGGCTCACAAGCACCTGTAATTTTGACTCCAAGAGATCCGACAGGCGCCCTCTTCCGGCTTCCATAGGCACTGCACGCGCATATACAAACCCACATGGCACTCAGCTAGCTATAGATATGATTAAATTTTAATGTCTTAAATATCAAAAAATTAATGAAAGCCATAAATAGAAAACACAGTGTATTTCCAGATTTCATTAAATGTTCTTTTAGGGGAATTCGGTTCTCTACAGAAAACTCTGCCGAAATTGACATAAGTCGAATAAAGTTGGCTCAGCACTTTGTAGTCTATGATGTTTATAAGCAAGAGCTTCTTCTACTTTGAAAACTATGCCTAAAAAGGAATTATCATTGAAGACTGAAGAATTTAATTAAAGATAAAGCCACTTGGGTGGCCACATAACAGATCAAACAGCTCATGCTTGAAGCAGAACTATTACTATTCAGCTGTATGTGCATGACTCATAATATAAATGAGGTTTATTCCTCTGCACATAAATTTGGATGCAGAAATTTATGTTTAAAAGTGCATTATCACACATGGGCCCAGTCTATTCAATTTTACCTCACACAGTTCAACACTGACTAATGACCTACTACCGTACATACTTCTAGGGGTTTGTTTGTTTTGAACTACTAAAAACATGCTAAGAATTCTGGGTCTTGTAGAGCTAGAAAAGAACCTGAAACATTGTTAAGTTCATAAACAATGTAAAATAGTAACAAATTCTCACTGGTATAAATAGCTGAATTTTCACATCAATATAAAAATAAGTGTTTTTGAAAATATAAAAATAACATCTGGTATTAAAATTTTCCATTGTGGCCAAACAAAATTCCAACACAAAAGAGAAACAAAAAGGTAAGCTACAGGCTAGCTTGGACTTCAGTGTGACTTCGAGGCTGACTCAGGTCTCATGGTAACATCCTGTCTTTAAACACACACACACACAAAGAAAAATTCCACTGTGAATTATCTTCAGTTTTCACAAAACACTATAAACTAGCAAGTATGATGATATCATTTTTACTATCACATTTTTTTAATCTTTCATGACTAGGAAAGGAACCAAATTGGGTGAAATGTCCATTTAGCGCAACATTTAAGCAAAAATGGGAAAAAAAAAATCTTAAAAGTTATATAGTTTTTTTCTATTCCTAAATCTAACATAGTGAATAAGACGAATTATGAATTATCTTTTGTATGCTATTCTATTACAATACTGTAACAGTGAAGACTTTCAGTGCAGACGGAAGACAGAATGTGCATTAGACTGCTTGCACTCATCTCCCGCTGCCAAATTTGTTTTTCTGTAACAATTTGTAAACCAGATCAACACCAATCTTAAATGTAATCCTAACAGAAAGGAAGCAGCTTTCTACTCCTTCAACTGTCACCTAATGTACTAAAGACAGGCTTAAGGGAAATGAGCAAGAAATATACGAAGCCACGAAAGACATATGAAAACAAGAATGGCTTACTGCACACAAGGTTTATGTGATAGACTAAAGGGCAGCAAAGACTGATTGCTACAGGTAGGGAAGCAGGTAGGCTGTCAAGAACAAGTGGAAATAAAGAACTTTAGACGGACCATCTTATTTGTCTAACAGAATCTATGGGAAGAGCGATAAATGAGTAAAGGAGGTGAAGCCCAGTAAGTAGTGACACAGCAGAATCTTTCTGTAGAAGAGTTTGGTTATGCCATGCTTAAAACAGTGGAAGTTTCTGGAACTTATAATAGGAAACTACTAAGATCAGTGAGGCCCAGCCTTAAGGAACAAGTACTCCAATGGTTGAATCAACTACGACATAATCAATCAACCATGTACTCTGAAAAAGAGACAATTTCCTGACTTCTCATAGGCTTAAAAAAAAAAGTTAAAACACTAGCAGTCAATTGGCAAGTCTTCACTGTGCACCCACTATTTGATACACCGCGTGTAAATATGCAAGTTTTCCCTCAAGTACACAACATAAGTTAGGAAATGCAACAGATACCACATTTATGTCCCTAGTTAAATAAAACAGTACTGGGTGATGAACAAAGGTGTGACAGGAGGCACATTGATATCTCTATGTGAGTAAATTAATACCACATTCGCAAAGCTGGGGATGTCATAAGAGCATAAAAATAAACACACGACTGTGACCCAGAAACTCCTCTCTTACAAATCTACCTTGTGGGGCGGGAAATGTATTATTTCAAAGATCTTACAAAACACTAGAAAAATCCCAAACATCTGCCAATAGAAAAAACTTAAAATATACTCATATGATGAAACGTTGTATAGCTATTAAAATTATTTTTCAAAGAATATTAATGTTATTTAGGAACACTTAATGTTTCTGAATTAAAACTAACTGAAAATGTAAGATCTAGTCTTAGGAAAAATTACACCCAGATGATAGAAAAATATTGAGAAATAAAGTTTTCCAGGATATTTTATAATATGTAAGAAAATAAGCCGTAATTATTTGAAAAGACATCTATTACCAAGAACCTGTAATTATCAAATATTTACAGGCTAAGATTACGAGTTTCACATTTAAGAAATTATTCTAGAAAGGCTGAGGAAAGGGAGTAACATTGTAGATCTAAACTACGAAAATAATAGCAGACCTTGCCAGTAATCTTTAAAACCGGAAAGATAAACGTAGTTACAGCACGGTTAGGACTGGTGGCACCCGCTTCCAAAAGTCAGCTCTAAAAGGACCTGGACTACACACAGCAAGTTCCAAGCCAGCCTGTGTGAAATGCCCGCCCTGAAACAAAAGTGCAACAGATCTGTACTAAATCGAATATATCTTATTTCTCTGCTTACTGTGAAAATCCCGAATATATGCTAGCTTTGTTAAAACTGACGTTTTGTTACACCACATTATGTGAAGATTTACAGTCACTAAAAAGCACGTGATCCTTATTACACCCTTTTAAAGCAGGGACCACATTACGAAACGGTTTACTAGAGGAAACAGATGTATTGGCAAGGTTGTGACTTGCCCGAGAAAACAGCGAGTGAGTTCTCTGCAAACCACAGAAATCAGGCACCGGTGTTAAGCCTCTTAAGCAATCTGTACTCCACACCTGCACCCTTCCCCCCCCCTCCACTGTCGAATTATTTTTAGAGCTACTTTTCCTACCCCCAAATCCTGCCTAGTTTGCCAGCTGGGTGCTCAGTCAGAGTTTCGGGTAAGTTCTGTTGCTAACAAACTGGTCCCATCCAATCAGGACCTAAAACCCTTCGACGGACACCAAGTTAAACAAGTTAAAGGCGGCTGCGGCCGGTCTTTTCCGTCTCTCCAGCGCAGAACTGCTCTCCGGTTTGGGGAAATCAACCAGACGGTGACTGCCCCGAACCCAATCTCCCCGCGCCTTCTCCGGGAGCACCGGGGCGCCCCCGCGGCGCCCGCTCCCCTCCCCGCAAGGCAGCCGCAGCTTCTTCCCGGGGGTTCGAGACCACACGACGCCGGCCAGCCTTTATTTCCCCTCCCTTCGGCACCAGGAGCGACACGAACTCGGCCGGGTGACCCTTCAACAGACCGTTCCAACCCCTTCCATCCCCGACAATTCTAAGGCCAGACCCATGACGGCCCAGAACAAGGAAAAAGAAAAGTCGCTGCTGCTGAGGCGGACAGCCCGGCTCAGCGCTAAACTTCCACACCGCGTTCCCCACGCCCGCCGCGGAGGCTCCGCTGCTCCGGACGGGGGCGGGCCCAAGGCGGGGGGCGGGGGGGGAGAGCCACGTGTTCCGCCTTCTGCGCACGCGCCAGGCAAAACAAAAGGGAGGCTTGCCAGGCCCCGCCCCTCCCACGTGACTCGCACCCAGGCCCGCCCCCTGCCCCGCCCTCCCCTCCCCGCCGCGTCTGCCAAGGCTGTTAGGTTTAGCCGTTTAAATTTGGCTGCGATCCGACCCCTGCCCCAAAGCACGGCCCCGGGTCGGGGCCCGGAGTCCAACGGCCAGGAGGATTCGGGGTGCAAGGGGGCTGCCCGGCGGACGCCGAGCCCGCGAGTCCGCCCGGCGGTCTCTCCGCTCTTCCCGCCCCGCGCCGCCGCCGGCCCCCGCCGAGGAGACCCACCCCCCTCTGCCCGCCGCTGCGACGCCGGCCACTCGCCTGCTGGGGCGCCCTGGCTGCCCTCCGCCGCCGCACCTTCGGTCGGGCCGTGGTGGGGTCCGCCCGCCTCCCCCCGCCCGGGGCGCTGCCGACTCGTCTCCAGAGCGCGCCCCGCTCCCGCCCCGGCTGACGCCGCCGCCGCGGTTTAACAGTCCGCCCGCTGCCCGCAGCTCCGGGCGCTCGGGGGACGGAACCCTGCCGCTGAGGGGGGGGGGGCGGCGAGGGAGGGCGGGGCCCGGCTCCGGCCAATGGCAGCGGGGGAGGGGCGCGCCATGCAAATGAGGCGGGCGGCGGGGAAACCCCGGCGGGGGCGGGGCCTGCGGGAGCGGCCCGGAGCGTTCTGAAAGCGGCCGGAGCGCGGCTGCCGAACTCTGCCCGTGCGTTCCGCTCGGCTGCCGCTCGGCGCTCTCTCCGCCCTCGGGAGAGCTAACCCCGCCAGTCGGACTGCCGAGCCGCTTCCCGCTGCGCTTTCTCTAGGTCTGTGGCACGAAAATAAGAGGCGGGGGGAAACGCAGGTCTGCGCGTCCCTCTTGCTCCTCTGCGAGCGTGGGCGTCCCGGCCGCGGGGCTGGGCCGGGCCGAGGGTTAGCAACCTTCCTCCGCTGCCTCCGTGCCTGCGCTTGTCTTCTGGGCTCGGAAACTCAGATCCCAAGTCATCCTCTGTCGGACCTCCAAGCGTCCACTAGGTGACAAATCTGCCGTGGATACATTTGAGATAGTTTATGACTGAGAAGCGCTGCCGTTAGAGCGTCAGCGCAGAAAAGCGGGATTTTAGATGGAAACTGTTGACTAGAGACACACAAAAACATCTCTTGAGTCTCGCGCCTGGTCCAGCCCGCAGCTTCACCGTTGATCGCGCCCAGGCATTTCCCCAGGCTTGAACTTGATGCTTAAGAAAAAAAAATGATAACCTAAATATAGCTACTTAGATAATAGAAGCTTTGCTAAGCAGATTTTCCCTGGAATGCTTTAGGGAGTGGAAGGCACTAGGATTTTAGATCCAGATTTATCATTATTTCTACCTTTTTATTTGGAAGGGATCACAGGGCAGGGCCGTGGAGGAAGCGTGAAGAATTGAAGTCATCAGGAAGTAATACTTAGACATTACCAGAATTGGAAAATTTGCCACTACTTCTCTTTCTAGTACATCAAGACACATAGCTGAAATAATATTTAGGATACTGTCTTCGGTGGGGAATAGTTATAAAAATTACTCAAAACAATAATTGCTCAACATGGGTCAAGGGAGACATTTCAGGAAATATTAAAATGGATTAAAAGTCATGATCTAATGGTGTGTTGGAGGAAAAATTAAACACCTACTGGCTATTTGTCATAGTCTCTAAGTATGGAAACAGAAAATAAGTAAAGCGTTTAAATAAAACATGTGGTGGGGCCTGGATTGGTGCATATATATGCCAGAGGTGGGCCAGCCTGGTCTACATGGTGAGTTCTAGGACAGCCAGAGCTTTTTACCGAGACCCTGTCTTAAAAACAAAGCTGCATGTTAGAGATAGTAGCAATTTGAAAAGTCAAAGATGTTAGAGCAGTTCTAAGATTTTGGATTCAAAACTCAAAATTCACTTTAGAGGCTTCAAATAAAAGAGGGAGCCATCCAGAATACCTCGGGAAATAATATCCTTAAAGGGGCAGTAGTTTGTATCATACCATTAGAATAGAAAACAACATTGCTAAGGACGCTGGTAAATCATGAGTGACGAGGTCTGTGGGTGTGCCAGGGCAAGAGAACACTTGCCCAGCATTGGTGAGGGGCCCTGGGTTCAGCTTCTAACATCCTAATGGATGACAAGGAACAAATTTAAAATGGAGAATTGTAGAGCTGTAAAATGACTTGAGGCCCAGCTGTCCCCTGTGGGACAGTCGCTTATTACCAAAGCAAAATACCTGTAAGTTAATGAAATGTGTGTTGAAAACATATTTTGTGGTGATTATAAAAGAGATACAGCAGTAGTTAGCTTTGCAAAATACAGATAAAACCATAACAAGGCTTTAAATATATTTCCTAATTCAGTCATCAAACATGGTAAGAAGTAGGTTGGTTTCTAATACTCGGTTATTTTTCTTTTTTTTTTTTTTTTTTAGCCAGCCTCAGTCTGCCAGATTTTTGTAGACCTTACATAAATATTCCAGTTTATGAAACCATCATGTATGTAACATTGAAGAATATTATTTTCAGGTGTGTGACTTTTGTTTATGCTGCATTTGTTTAACTCTGTGAAGCTGTGTCACTGCCTGTCTAAAACACCTGAAAGTCCTAATAAAGAGATGAACGGCCAGTAGCAGGACAGGAGCAAGACTAGGCAGGGCTAGTAGGCAAGATTATAAAGAGAAGGAGAAAACTAGGAGGAGAGAGGAGCAAGAGAACAAGGAGTGGAGGAAATCAGGGCAGCCACCCAGCCGGTCACTGAGAAAGAAGAAAAAAAGTTAACAGAAAAGCCCAGAGGCAAAAGGTAGTCAGGTTAATTTAAATTAAGAAAAGCTGGGAAGAAAAGCCAAGCTAAGGCGTGCATTCATAACTAATAAGCCTTTATATGTGATTTATTTGGGAGCTGGGTGGTGGGTCCCTCAAAAAGCCAAAAGAGTAAAACATCACACTACAGTAACATGTTCCTCCTCCCCTTATATTCAAGTTTATGGGACTCCAAGAGTAGTAAGAATCAGAGGCTGTTTAATGGCATGGGTTTGAAATTACTTTAAAAAAAAAAAACACAAGGAAGAACACAGTAATTTCTGTAGCTTATTTTGTAACTAATTTCATAAACTAGTTGCTGTAGCTTACAGAGTGATAACCCTCACTTTACATATTAAGCACATTGTTCTCGACAGTAAATACTATCCTAAAACATGATTGTTATAAGTAGTATAAGCACTCCAGCTTTCCAGAAACCATAGCGTTCTAAAACTTGATATGCTCAGTCATTTGTAAAATGGTTTATATTTTACTTATTTAACAAAATCCTGAAAGAATTCTTGTACTCTTAAAAACCAAGGATGTATTATTTTAAAGATACATTAAATAATTCAGGGTCCCAAGAAAACTATATTATGAGAGAGAGAGGTAAAGCTAAAGACTCAGCAAGAGCAAGGAGAAGAGAAGGGCACAGTTCTTGCTGACATAATTACAACCTGACTGGAATCTGTAAAAACACTCAGGTAAGCGATATTGCCCACGATTTCCTGAGACTGACTCCAAGGCCGGCTCTCGCTCCAGCACTCCTTCCATTCCGGAAGCCCCAGGCAGCACTTAGGGGCCAGCTGACACTGATAAATGCCAGAGATAGAGATCCACGCCTGGCTTCAAGCAACTCAGCCAAGAATGGATTACAAGCACAGCCTTTTGTGTCTCCTTCTCTGCTGTGTTCTTTCTAGCACTTCACATCCAACATAACACAGACTTTTATGTATCTCTCGCTGGCCTAGAATGTAATAAGCTGCATGAGCTCAGGCCACTTTACTCAGCGCTGACTCCCTAGAGCCTAGGCCATGGAAGAAGATTTAATTCTTACATTCTGCAGGAAAAAAAAATTAAGCTCAGTGACATCCAAGTATCAAGATACTAACAGTAATAAGTGGCCAGTCTTGGATTTCAGCAGTCTTGACTGGGTCCAAAGCTAGCCTCCTGCCCAACTGTCATAGAATAGGCGCATATGGGAGTTTGTTACTGTTCTTTATATTTTTATGCCAAAAAACAACTGTCTTCCACTGTCGTATATACATCCATGTATTTATGATAAAACTCAGGCATCTGATGTGAGGCAGTAGAGGTAACAAGTGCTCCTCAGGTCAGATTAAAATTGAGCTAACCAGTACTTACAGCTGAAAAGAAAGAGGTATGCAACAGAACTATAGGAACAAAGACTGGGTACAAGAAAAGACAATACTGGCCACAGAGGTAGGAGAATAAAAAATAATTTCCTTTGCTTGTGAATCTATTACTTGTATCCATAGTAGAC